ACTCCTTCCTGGTCGTCATCCGTGTTCAGGTTCACCAGGGCCTTTCGCTTCTCCGCTGCAGCCACCTTTTCCGCCTCCAGCTTCGCCTTCCGTTCCTGCGCCAACCGCAACTTCTCCGCCGTCTCCCTCTGCTTGAATATGTCCTTTTGCGCTTTCTACGATTTGCAGAAGAAGGAAAAATTACGAAAAATCCTTTTCACACAGCGGTATTCTCCTCAAAAAATCGGGTGTGCGTCATAATCGAGTACACATTTTCTGTGAGCGCGTCATCTTTTAATTCACGTTCAGCAAGTTTGAAAATAAGTAAAATTTAAAACACATTCAGTGAAGTCTAAAAAATATAAGTTCATAGTGACTAGAACGCGTAAAATAATTATATATTATATGCACTGTATATATAAAGGTGGCTTCTCTACAATTAAATTCAAGAGGACCAAAAAAAATTCGTTGTAAATAGAATTTCATTTTAGAGACCAGAATTTCGTTGTAGAAAATTAAGGGGACGAGGAACAAATTCGCTGTAGAAAGAATCTCGTTGTATAGACCATTACGGTACTAAGAAAAATTTTCATTCACAGAAAATCACTGTAGAAAAGATTCGTTGTAACGAGAGTTTACCTGTATATACAGTATATATTCAAACTCAAATCGAATTGGTGAATAAAAATGTCAGAGCAAAACAAAATTCAGCAAAATTGCACTCGAAGAGTGCAAAATAAATAGAATTTTCTCACAATTTCTGTCTCCGAAATAAATGGTTGGAATGGAATTTCCCTGAACACACGCACCATTAATACAAGTGGACTTTCACAACCAAGGAATTCAAGGGACCAGAAAAAAGAAAAAGGATTTAGGGAGAATTTCGATATAAGACACCCCCATGGGACAGCAACAAAATTCGTCTTACAGAGAAAATCGTTATAGAAAGAATCCACCAGCGTGTTGCTCACAAAAAAACGTCAACTTGCAATTGGCATCGGCTAAGGCCCAAGCGGACCAAACCAAGTACAGTACAGTACTTACAATGTATTCCTCACGGAACTGGTTAATGTCCGTGAAGAACTCGTCCAACGTATACTTGGTCTTGTCAAAGACGAAGTACTCTGCCATTTCAGAGTAGAGTTTATCCATCTTTATGTACATCTTCTCGATGATCTCGTATTGGCGTCTGGCCTCCACTGCGAACCCACCCAAGACTTCGACGAACCTGTCCTCGGAAACCGACCCGCTGTTGTTCAAGTCCTTGGGGCTGCAGTTTTTCAAGTCCGTCTCCAGACCCCTGATGTTGTTGTCCATGCTTCGCAGACTCTTTTGCAGCTGTTCCGGAGATACCTTCGCCGCCTATTTTTTTTTT